TATGTACATTCTTAGTATCTCTTTGAAAGGAAAGGTCAAATAGGAAATCTTGGAAATGGTGGATCCAAATCCCACATGGTCCCAAGTCCCTAGTAAATGCTGTAGCTAAAGTTCTTGTCAGGTGACTGCCTCTGGCCACAGCAAAGAACAGTTTTTCTCCTCAGAGTTCTCTAGGGCTACCTCAGAGGAAGAGTCAAAATGTTAAGAATCCCTTCTTGTGCACCTGTCTTAGTCTAGTTTTCTCAAGAGTCTTTGTTGAACCAAAGAATATGAAGTTCATTTTGAAAATACAACTTTGTTTACCAAAGAATAAAATTCTAATGGATTTTGGCTTTCGTTGCTCCCTCGAGAGCTCATTTAAATATTTCTTACTGAATTCAGTTTTATCTTGTAGTAGAACCTGCTCAGCACAAAAGTTAGGTGATCACATAACTAGAGGCAAAGGTTGAGGATTCACTATAATCACAAGTAGGCTTGTGGTCCACCTGAACTAAAGACTAGAGAATACCAAGGGGTTTAAAGTGGGAATGTACAAGTTGCTCTTTTTCTATATTTTCGTTAGTTTGTTAAAGATGTATTTTTTGTGACTTAGAAATTAAATCTGGTAGCATCCTGACAAAAAATGATGGAAAGATAGGTTAAGTAGACTTTTCTAAAGACTAGGGGCTTAAAGCAGGAAATACCATTGAACCGGGTAATCTGCGTTTGGAATGTAGCTTCTTTTTGTGGCCCATAGTGCTTATAGTATGGTGCCCCGAGAGGAAGGACGAGACCTTGCCTGCCTTTGGTCTGCCTCCTCATAGAGGCACCATTTTAACATCCACAGTTAGGAATACTCTCCCAGGCAACCAGCATTCTAAAATCCAAACCAAGAAATTCTGCATCCAATAATTTACGCTTTGAATTTCTATTTAATGATATCCTACTCTGCCAAGCACTGCATTAGACACTTTAAATACTTATCTTATTTAAATATCCTATAAGATTTGTGTTATTGACCTCATTTTATAGAGAAGGAAACTAAGGTTCAAAAAGATTTAAAGCATTTTTTTTCCCCAAAGTGACACAGTTAATTAAGTGATGAGGCTGGGCTGCAGACCTGGTTCTGTTGGACTTTAAAGCACGTTCTTCAAAACTCTATAGTGCCTTTCAATTTCAGAGTGCTATCCTTGCAGGTTTTAGGTTTAATTTTATTAAAGAGGACAGAATCTCTTTTCACCCACAATATTATAGCTCCTAGAAACTTCTGCATTGAAACATCATGTTCTGAACTGTGTTGAGGATCCAGTCTTTGTCAGTGACTAGACAACAGCTAACATAGGGAAGGAAGAGAATATTGGAAACAGTCTGTTACACTAGGGCTCATGTGGACAGCATTCATCCTCATCAGAAATGGCCAATCTGTTGCATATCTGCCTTCCTCAGCACTGTTTAAGTTTTAATTATCTTCCAACTGTTTGAGCTGCTGTTGAGGACCTCAGAGAGAACAAAGGAGAGCTGTTATATTTTTCAGCAGTGCTCTTCTCTGCACACTGATGAAGTCACTAGCTGCCACTGCCCTTATTATCAGGTTAAATCAGAGTCTGGCTGGGCATTGGAGAGATGATGCTGAAAGGAAAAAAAAAAAATTCATCTTAAGCTTTACCTCTTATTCAAAAATCTTTTGTGACGGAGAAAATGTGGTATGGACTTCTCCTGTTGAGGTGTTATGACCCAGGAACAAGTTTTGCTTTGTTTTTCAAAAAAAGTTAAAAAAGAGAGAAAGGATTCTCTCTCATCCCTATCCCTTGGATTTTCAGTAGCTTTGGTAGTAATAACTTCTCTTCTGCCTTGGGATTGCTCCATTGTGAGCCCCGTGAAGGAAATCTGCTGATGATGGAGGGTGGTACTTGTGCTGCTCCCTCTCCGTTCTAGTCATTGCTCATGGATCAGGGCACTCCTTCCCCTGAGCTGGACCGGGCCTCTGAGTTCTTCATGTAGAGCTCCACGCTACCCTACCAGTCACTGAAGTTGAGGGTTGGTTAAAGCTTATTTGGTAATTCTGGTTGAGATCTTTAGTAAAGGACAGAGTCCTATGCTAAACAACTCCTTGCTGCAGAAAAGGAGCATGGCTTCTTTCTTGTGACTTTGTTACCATTTTTTTAAATGTATATTTGAATAAGGACTTTATGCCATTTTTGTAAATTATGCTATAATTTTATGGAGACTTAGAAAGTATTGTAGACCTAGAATAATTAAACATGTTATGAGCATTACATATAACAGGCTAATCAAGAAGTGTGATGTACAGTGGTGAATTGCTAATTTGACCTCAGGATTATGCAGCAGAGATAACATTATCTTCATTTATGCAAAACTTTTTATCTGGAGGCATCTTTCAGTGCTTTTCCAACCATATATATTATCTTGTTTGTTATCACAAACACTATCATTAAGGCTGTAAAATGTATTCCAGTACAATTTTTTATTTTCAGTTTCTTATAATTGGGGGACGAGGGAGGGGAAGCTTGCGTATTTTCTCCCATTCCTGATATTTGCACCAGGGTAAAATTTGGGAAATGACTATTATCTAAACTTGGAGAGCCTGGTTCCATATAATGTTTTATGTGGAGGCGGGAGGGAGGGGATGTTACTGCCTCCCCTTAGGTCACACCAGACCATTAACTTTAAGAACTGCCAGTGGGGAGGGAGGGAGTCAAGATGGCAGCGTAGGCAGACCCTGAGCTCACCTCCTCCCGTGGACACAGCCAATTTACAACTACTCGTGGAAAAATTACCCCTGAGACAGAACTGAAAACTGGATAAGAGGAACTCCTGCAGCAGCGGACAGTCCTAGCTGGGGTAGAAGAGGCAGAGACTCCCTTCCGGAGAGGAAAAACGCCGCCGTCACAAGCCGCCAGCTTCCCGGCCGCCGGGAGCAGCTCACAGAAATAGAAGTACAATGATGTACACCTGAAATTTTTACAATGTTATAAACCAATGTTACTGCAATAAACAAAAAATAAAAAAATAAAAATAAAATAAAATAAAAAAAAAGAACTGCCAGTGGGGAAATGCCCTATTAGTCACTTCCTGGCTCCTCTACTTTGTACAGTATTAGGAGAGCTGTCTCTCCTTTGGAAGAGTCTCGACCTCAGGAACAGGAAAATGATCTGATCAAATTCCACCAAACCACATTCCCTCCGTTCCCTCCAAGGTTGCAGACAGCAGCACTCAGGCTGTCATGACCATGTGCGGTTGAAAATGCAATGCTGGTTGAGTTCCTGTGGGTTTAAGAAAATGGACAAAATTAGATTCAGGCCAAGGCGCCAGGCTTAACGCACCCCTTCCCTTCCAGAAAGCACCAGAGAGATTGTCACTGACTGTGGTAAAGGCCAACACAATCTGTTCTACCCAATCCATTAAGAACTTATTTTAAATGAACCCCACCGCCCACCCAAACCCAATAAAATCAGCACCTTCTGTTTGCCTTGAGGGCTCGAGAGAACAGATCAGGGCCAACTTCCTGCTTACCCAGAGGGTTTGGTGAGTGTGGCAGTTGCCCTGACTCTCCACACAGGAAGAGTGGTGTCTCCCTGCAGTGGGTATGGGCACACTGAACAGCCAGTCCAGGGGATAGCATTTGTATTGGTTGTGAAGATGAGTGATTAGCTTATGTCAAGGAGCAGATGGCTAAATGAGGTGCACAGGGGATTCCATGAGATTCAGGCTTCAAGGAACGGGAGAGAAAATAGTCCATGATATAAAAAACCCAGATATAGTATCCCTCAAGTGAATTTTTTAAATCGACATTTACATTATACAGTTAACTTGGAGTGATGAGAAATGTAAAGAAATTACTGGATTAATGAACAGTGATTAACTCAGAAGTAAAATTACACTCAGAAGTAAAATTACATCATCTAAGTCAAAGGTTGTTTTACACAGCAAAGGGAGGATATTACTAAAACCTTACCCAGTCTGTCATCTCCTAATTGAAATCTGTTTGTTTAATATGCCCCGTCTTTCAGAGTGCATAGTTCATAATTTTGGATAGCGTTATCAGTTAATCTAGTTATCTTTCCTGGTTCTTCCTTTGAATTCCAGTAAGGCGGTTTGTGGCACATTCTCTGTGGAATTGTGTGACACTCAGAAGAGTGAATTTGTCTGTTCATTAACCTGTGAACTGTCAGTCCCCTTGGAGAGTGAAAGGAGCTCCTTGCTCCAAGGTTAATGCTTGTTTGTTGGAGGTGAAGCCTCCAGGGAGATACAGAGGGTGAACAGGCCGAGATGCTCAAGACCTGCCCTGTGAAACTCTGCACTGTGTGCAGATGCCAGATCCGTGTGGCCAGGAGGGAGGCTGCAGAGCAAGCTGGGTCACCTCTGCAGATCACTTCCTCTGGTCAGGAGAAGGCTTCCCAGCAGTCAAGTGAGGGGCTGGCGTAAGTATATAGGGTTAACTTCCTAACAAGGATTTAGGAGCAATCTTAAAATACAAGAAACTGAGTGGTTTTCAGTAGTTCCTGTGGATTTTCTTTTAAATGAGAAAGCAATATTGATTTCATACATCTGTCTCCAACGGATGAAATCTTTCATTGAGTTGGAAAGCATTTGATTTTGCGTGTTTGTGCCCCTGTGCACAGGCACATTCCTAACCACAAGGTGAGGATAGAAGCTGTTTGTTATTCTCTGGCGTAAGTGTCTCATGGACATATAATTGTACTGACATGCAGGGGTTGAGTTGAACAGTACCTCGTTTGATTTTCTGGGTAAATCAAATCCAAGTTACACTTAATTCTCCAGAAAGTGGCATCTCCCTAATTTTGCTGTAATTCTTCTAGGCTTGGTTGGAGCTAGCCCTGAGGAGCAGGTACAGGGTCTGAAGTCAAGTTCAAAGTCTCCTTTAGTCCATGCTCTGGTACACTGTATGTTTACATATTGTATCTTATTCTGTTATCTTTGGACTGGCTATGATAGAAGCTTGTTTTCTTCAACAAATTTCCTTTTCTTTTTACCCCCAGGTATATTCGAATAGTTGGGACTCACAACACAGTGAACAAGATTTTTCACATTGTGGCTTTTGAATGTATGTTTACAAACAAAACCTTCACTCTCGAGAAGGGCCTGATTGGTAAGTATTACAATTACATTTTTGTATATATACTTAGATATTTTATCTTCAAATATTTTGATATTCCATTAACTCATCGTAATCCACCTCTTAATCAGCTTTGACGAAGAACTCTGGTTGATTTGAATGCCTTGTGGCTGAGTGACATAGAGGAGGGCTTATATTTTTAGAAGTAGTCAAAATCATATGTCCAGTAAACTTAAAAGAATATAAATATTGTACTAGTAGTTAAGAATTGAAAGCGCTCTAGTGATTTATTCAGATTTGCTATGTGAGGAATGTTTATGATCGTCAGGTAAAGCCTTTCATACCAAAGGCTTTTCTATATTTAATATTGGGTAAGTTCGGGGAGGAAGTCTGTACAGTATTGATCCAATGCTCTTACTTTCCAAGGCTGTGCAAGTATTTTGGCCTTTGATTTGATATGAATGGTCTTCTCAGCTGGGAGAGTATCTTCTTTTCATAGACCCATCAGTCCACATGTGTCCTGTTAGCCAAGTTCACCTCAAGAAAATGCCTGCATATAATTTAAATAAGACTAGAGTAACTGAACTGTGATTGTGCAACTCAGGTTATCATGTGGGAAATACTGCCTGACTTATCTTTTGAAAGTATATTTTTAATTTTGTTTTAGTTGTTTGCTTGGTTGTTCCCTGTTGTGTTTTGATTTTTAGGTAATATTTAGTCTGGCATTGTGTACAGTCCACCTTAGATCTTGACATTCTAGGTATCATGAGTGGCTTTTCCCTTCCAGACTGGTTGTTCCTTTTCCCCATGCCCACAGGTTTTTACTCACCTCCTGTAAAGATCATAGTTCACTAATTAGATCCTTGAATCTGTGCCTTTATTGCAGCTTCCTTTGAAAAGTGACTCTGTGTGTTCAGGTGGGGGAGATAAGATGCCCCTGCATTGGTGTACCTAAAATAGAACAATTTGCCTTTACAAAGGGACTCATTTCTCGTCTCCGTCTCAAGTCCTGTCTGTGCTGGCACTCATAGCATATTGACACATGTCCTAAAAACACAGTGATGACTAGAATGGGAAAGATGAGTACAACTTACAAATATTTACTAATTCTTTGATTGGTCATGAGTCTAAATTTTCTTAACACCTGCTGTGTCCTAAACATAGTTCTTTACTTAGGGAAATGTAGGAGAGAAATATTAATAAAGTAGCAGGAGTAGAAATTATTCCAATGTATAGAGAACTTTTAGAGCTCAAATAAAATAAATTGGTTTTAACTTTGTTATAGATATAGTTTTTAATATTAAATATAAATGTTAATAATTCTTGTGACTTAAATAATTAGAAAGTTAACAATGCTGAACCATTGTCTGATATTATCAAGGCTTTTAATTTGTTGGACTGTATGGAATTTTGGTGATGGAGGATGGCGGCGAGGGCACTCCTTTGCACCTGCTGCCCAGGTTCTTTTATAGATTGTAGGCCTCACTGTGTGTGAGATTGTGTAGTTAGGGGAGTCCTCACTGAGAAGGGTCTGAGAAACCAAACCACCTCATAGTCATAAGATGTGTAGCATTTGACTATTCACTTCAGCCCAGTGCACTGCATTTTTGAACATGCTGCATAGAAGGTGCTGCCTACTTAAATCAGCCCCCCATTCTTATTGGAAGAAGAACAGGTCTGTGGACACTGTAATTATCAAAGAAACAAGCCTATCGAGTGTGAGAGGCCATTACAGAAATGAAACTCAGGGTCAGTTGTAGTGAGGAATGCCATTGTTGGTCTGCATGTTTCATCCAGACTGACCTAGTCAGCATTATCAGAAGCCCTATTAGTCTCAGGTGTGTCAGAGGATGAAAGAGGATTGCAGAGATGCAAGAAGTGTTTTTGGTGTCTGGTCACTTTTCTTCCGGCCCTTTTCTATAATGCTCACAAGTTTGACTGCAAAGGGCACTGCAATCATCTGCCTGTCATCGTCCCTCAACCGAATGGGAGCAATGGTGCAGGTAGGCAGATCTGTGCGTGCACTTGCCAGCAGATGGCCTGCAGTGGGATTCCCTCTGGCCCTCCTCCTACCATCTTTACAGCTCAAAGCTGCCCCATGCTGGGTAGACAGGGAGGTGATATGAGTCGTGAAGGAGTACAAGGGGATCTCATTATCCTTTGTCTAACATGACAGCTCTGCTTAGTTGAAAGGGGTGTTTGAAATAGTAATGGCCAGCTTTCCATGTGAATGATCTCAGCTACCTTTTGGCTGCACACGGGCTTTAGCCAGTCACCCTACAGGGACCTCCAAGAAAGGATGGTCCTCTAGTAGGGGCACAGTGTTTGTCAGAATCACTTGGAGTTATTTTTCAACTGTAGCTGCCTACTAACTCCTTCCTATATCCTGTGAAATATGCACTCCTCCCTTGAGAACCACTGATATAAACTCCAGATTTCCATGGGGGAAAAAAAAATAAAACTAAAATAGTGTCACCATGAATAACTAATAGGATATCAAACCCTACTTTTATGTTTTGAGATTTAGATCTTCTTTCACAGTTCCTGGTCTTTGTTTCATGGTTCAGGCTATTCTGATTAGAGTAATACTCTCCTTATAGGCCTTAAAAATTACTTTAAAAATATTTGTATTGTTTTTTAAAATCAGATTTTAATGTTATTACTTAAAACGTGTAATGATGCCAGGAAAAACCTAAATAAAAATAACTGCATCAGCTTTATAAGATTTTAGTCTCCTTGTTCCACGAAAGGCTTTCTTTCCCATTTTTGTTGACAGCTTGTCATTCTTTATGCTGCTTCACTTGTACAGATTCATGGGGAAGCTTTGGAACCCTGCGGGTTCATTTGTCCATGAGAATGGCCCCAGCTCAGCCACACTGACCACACTGGGCTTCAGACTCCACCCACACTTCTCCCACCTTATCTGCTGCTGCCCTTCTCATCTGTTGGCTGCTTCTGGATTGTGCTGGGATGTATTCTTGCCTGGGAGAGTCAGCCTGTGATGACTGTCTCCTCTTTGTTAGGAGGCTTTCTAGAAAACTCAGATCTGTCTTACCAGTGAGACGTGGAAGGAATAATTAGAATAGATGTGACTGTCATTTTATAAGCATTCAACTTCCCAAAGAATGTGTTTGCTTTGCCTTGGCACTCCACTTTATGATACATAAAGGCATTTGCTAAGTCCTTTTACTTTTTCATAATAATTGCCAAATCTTCCTTTTCATTTAATCTTGTGTTTAAGTTCACTTCTCTGAATACCCTGCTAGTTATTCAGGTAGAGAGAATAGTACCCATTACTCAGCTTAAACAACTATCAACTCACAAAAAACCTAGTTTTATTTATATTCTACCTACTTCCTCCCCAATAGATTATTTTGAAGCCAATCCCAGACATTTTATTGTTTTATCCATAAATATTTCAATATGTATCTTTAAAAGTCAGGCCTTATTTTTGTAGCCATAATCACAATATAATAGCCCAAAATTGAACCGTAATTCCTTATGAGTATTAAATATCCAATCAGTGTTCAAATGTCCCTAATTGGATCAAAGTCTGGAGTGAGTTTATGTTTTTTTTGCACATTGTTTAAATCAGAATTTAGATAAGACCCATACTATCAATAAATAGTTGTTGTGACTTTCAAATCTCTTTAAATATATAGGTTTCCTTCCACATGTCTCTCTGTCTCTTTCTTTTTTTTCCTCTATCTCTAATTACAATTTATTTGTTGAAAAAGCTAGGTTTTTGTCCTGTAGAGTTTCTAAGAGCCTGGATTTTGGTGATTGAATCCTCATGGTAACGTTTAACATGTTCCTCTGTTGTATTTCTTGTAACTTGGTCATTAGAGAGAGGCTTAATCTGATTCAAGTTTTATTCTTTTGTAAGAATGCTCTGTTGGTGGTGGTATATGTGTATCAAGAAGCACAGAAAATCTGGTTGTCTCTCTTTTTTAGATATTCACATTCATTCATGATCATTTCCTAGATTCGTTATTTCATAATTCGGGATTGCAAAATGGTTATATTCTGTCATTCCTTCTTCATTTAATAGCTAGAAAGAGAAAAATTTCCTCAGCACTCATTTGGTAATCCTGAGATGCAGTTTGCCCAGGAAAGGAAAGATATTATGTTATATTCTTTCTTTTTATTTACCAATTTTCAAATTAAAGAGGTGGTTACCTAGCATTCTCCAAGAGTGATCAATGAAGTTTGTTTCTGGATTTTTTGGGGGGGACAGGGATGATGGGAGGAATATGTATTATTTCCATGTATTGTTAAACAAATTGGATATCTTTTAATCACTTGCAGCTATTATTATTGATATTCAAATTATCTCCATCTTTAGCTTCTTCATATTGGCTCTTGAATTCTTCTGACATGACCTCAGTAGTCCTCAATAATTCCTTGTGATTTCTGGCATGACAAGAGGTATCAGGTTCATCTTGTACATTTCCTGCCCCTGATCCAGAATCAGTCATTTCTTCAAGAAGCCCTGGTTCCGTTTAGTGGGAAATGACATTTGGAAACCTCAATCTGAGCACTATAGATGATCCTTGCTACTGTATTGCACTATTTCTAGGCCTTTTCAGTGGACAAAACTAGGAAATATGCTCATATATTTATTTATATATCATATATTTATCAGGTAAAATATATACGTGATGAGTGCATGCTGACACTTCTAATTAAAATTCAGTACACAAAGTTTTTGTTTAACCTTTGATCTTTAGTCTCCCTTTTTCCCTACTGAAAATCTTGGTTACCAGTGATGCAACACAATAATTTATTTGCTTTGTCCTCAGTACATACAAAATAGTCTCAGAATTACAGTACCAATACCACCATGTACCATATAGTATAAGAAAATAGTATAAGATTTTTGAAATTATTTTTGGGGTCCTTAGGGTTTATCCCACTAGAGATGTTCAGGAAAATTACTGTGTTTTAAAGTCACTTAGAATAATTCTGTGTGGTCATGCCACTGTTTCAGTATACAGTTAGATTCATTTGTTCCGTTTTTCTTTCAACGTTTA